CTACTGTTTCATATCTAATTTTGTTGATTTGATTCCTCTCTCTTTTTCTTCTTGAGACTGGCTAAGGGTTTGTCAATTTTGTTTATCTTCTCAAAGAAGCAGATTTTAGTTTTATTAATCTTTGTCATTGTTTCTTCCATTTCTTTTTGCTTGGATCTTTATGATTTCTTTTCTTCTGCCAGTTTTTTTTTTCTTGTTTTCCAGTTGTTTTAGGTGTAAAGTTACATTGTCTGTTAGATTTTTTTCTTGTTTCTTGAGGTAGGGTTGTATTGCTTTAAACTTTCCTCTTAGAACTGCTTTTGCTGCATCCCATAGGTTTAGAGTTGCTCTGTTTTCATTGTCATTTGTTTATAGAAAATTTTGAGGACAGTAATCTTATTTGTAGATTTTTCCCTGTTAGTAATTTAAATATATCCTGCCATTCCCTTCTGGCCTACAGAGTTTCTGCTGACAGATCAGCAGTTAAACGTATGGCGTTTCCCTTGTATTTTACTTGTTGCTTCTACCTTGCTGCTTTTATTAATTTTGTTCAGTCTCTGTTAGTTTGATTAACATGTGTCTTGGTATGGTTCTCCTTGGGTTTATCTTGTATAGGACTCTTTGTGCCTCTTGGACTTGACTGACTATTTGCTTTTCCATGTTGGGGAAATTTTCAACTATAATTTCTTCCAAAATTTCTCATACCGTTTCTTTTTCTCTTCTTCTGGGACCCCTATAATTTGAATGTTCGTGTGTTTGATATTGTCCCAGAGGTCTCTGATACTATCCTCAGTTCTTTTCATTCTTTTTATTTTATTAAGCTCTTCAGAAGTTATTTCCACCATTTTATCTTCCAGCTCACTAATTCATTCTTCTGCTTCAGATATTCTGCTCTTGATTCCTTCTAGAGTATTTTTAATTTCAGCAGTTGTTTTGTTTGTCTCTATATGTTTATTCTTTAATTCTTCTAGGTTTTTGTTAATTGTCTTGCATTTTCTCTATTTTGTTTTCAAGGTTTTTGATCATCTTTACTGTCCTTATTCTGAATTCCTTTTCAGGTAGTTTTTCTATTTCCTCTTCATTTATTTGAGCTTCTGTGTTTCTAGTTTGTTCCTTCATTCGTGCAGTGTAGCTCTGCCTTTTCATTGTTATTTTTTAACTTATTGTGTTTGAGGTCTCCATTTCCCAGGCTTCAAGGTTGAATTCGTTCTTCCTTTTGTTTTCTGCCCTCCTAAGGTTGGTCCAGTGGTTTGTGTAAGCTTCCTATAGGGTGAAATTTGTGCTGAGTTTTTATTTGTGTGTCTGTTTTTCCTCTGATGGGCAAGGCTGGATGAGGTGGCAATCCTCTTTGCTGATGACTGGGTTTGTATTTTTGTTTTGTTTGTTGTTTAGATGAGGTGCCCTGCAGAGGGTGCTACTGGTGGTTGGGTGATGCTGGGTCTTGTATTCAAGTGGTTTCCTTTGTGTGAGTTCTCACTATCTGATTCTCTGGCAGTCTAGGGTCTTGGAGTCAGCGCTCCCACTCCAAAGGCTCAGGGCTTGATCTCTGGTCAGGAGTGAAGATTCCACAAGTGGTTTGTCATGGCATTAAGTGAGATTAAAACAAATATCCAAAAATGAGAAACCAAAGATGAACCCGAGACAAATGGAAGTTATAAAACAGGCAAATAATAATTTAAAAATGAAATATACACATATACATATTCACCCCTGAGCAAAATCAAAGCCGTCCAACAAAAATAAAGTACAATAGATTGACCTGGTTAACAACAGAAGCCAAAAATTATACCTTCCAGAACAAAACTAACGAAAGCACAAACTGGAAAACAGAACTAAAGCAAGGTGCCAATTAGGGGATAAAACAATGAAAATAAAGCTAACAAATATGTTGAGAGTAAAGGACAGAAAGGAAAGAAAGAATAGATATGTAAAGTTAAATAGAAGTAGATGAAGATTTATATACAGTAAAGATTAACTTCAAGGGGAAAAGCAAACAAAGGAGTAAATGTGGAAAATTATAATAGGTTTAAAAATTAAAATTTTTTTAAAAAAGTGGAAAGAGGGAAAAAGAAAAAAAGAAAACACCCCAGAGCTGCAAGAACCCAATGCACAAGCAGAGGTTTATAATAGCAATAAAAATGTGACTGTGAAAAAGAAAAAGAAGCTTGAAAGCTTAATTAGATTTCATAGTGTCAATAAAATCGCCAGCTACCATAGAGCAGGGGGTAAAAAGTGGGGCGGGGGGGGATCCAAAAGATTCTACAGAACAAGTCAAAACATAAGAATAATAAATATTTTTCTTGAGTCACTGCTGTCAGAGTCCTTTCCCTCTCTGGGAGTCAGAGTCTGTCTCACCTCCCTAGGATACCTTCCAGCACTGTGCTGATCCCTGGACCTGCTGTGGGCGCAGCCCAGATTCTAATCTGGTCCTGCTCCTGTGTGTTCTTGCCTCCATTCTCCACACTGTCAGAACTGGTGCATTTTGTTTTGTGGGAGCTCTCAACAACTTTTTATATATTCCATAGACACAGAGTCTGCCTAGTTGATTGTGTGGATTTAATCTTCATTTTGTACAGCTGGTGGGAAGGAGTTGGGTCTTCTTCCTTAGTCACACTGCCCCTGGGCTTCAATTGTGGTTTTATTTCCACCTCTGCATGTGGGTCCTCTACTGGGGTTATCCCCTGAGGCTGCCCTGGAGGGCTTGGGTTGGTCCCCGTGAGTGATGGAGGTGGTGCAGCTGCTTGGGAGGCAGGGGTTCTGGCAGCACCAGGTCCTCAGGGGAGTTAGGAGTTAGGGCAGCAGGAAGTACAGTGCTCTAGAAGGGTATGGCAACAAGTATTGGCCAATACGCTCCAGTATTCTTGCCTGGAGAACCCCCAACCCTGACAGAGGAGCCTGGCAGGCCACAGTCTACAGATTTCAAAGAATCAGACACTGCCAACGCGACCCTGTGTGCATAGATGCAAGACTTTTTTTGCCTGTGGCAGCTCTGCCCCAGTGAGAGTTGAGCGTGAAGGTGGAAGAGCTGCTTGGCTCGCTGGGACCCTGATAGCACCAAGTGTGCAGAGACATGGCGCAGAAGTTATGGCCCCCTCTGAGTCTTTTATTTGCGCCTCTGATAGCTGGTGATCAGAAAGCCTGTTTGGCCAGTCTTTTCTGTAGCTCCGCCCATTTAGGCCCTTAGAGGGCTCCCTTGCCTGGGGTCCTTCTCTGTTGCTCTGCTTGTCAGGCACATACAGGGAGTTCCCCCCTGGCTGGGGTCCTCCTCTGCAGATCAGCGCGTCAGGCGCATAGAGGGGCAACTGGGTGGGGTCCTCCTCTGAAGATCAGTGCGTCAGGCGCATACAGGGGCACCTGGGTGGGGTCCTCCTCTGTATATCAGTGCTTGAGGTGCATAGAGGGGCACCCTGGCTGGGGTCCTCCTCTGCAGATCAGCGCGTGAGGCGCATACAGGGGCACCTGGGTGGGGTCCTCCTCTGCAGATCAGCGCGTCAGGCGCATAGAGGGGCAACTGGGTGGGGTCCTCCTCTGCAGATCAGTGCATCAGGCACATAGAGGGGCACCCTGGGTGGGGTCCTCCTCTGTATATCAGCGCGTGAGGCGCATAGAGGGGCACCCTGGCTGGGGTCCTCCTCTGCAGATCAGCACGTCAGGCGCATAGAGGGGCAACTGGGTGGGGTCCTCCTCTGCAGATCAGTGCATCAGGCGTTTGATGGGCCAGCCTCTTTATTGTTCATCTGCTGATGCTGGTGTGTGGGGAGAGAGAAAGGCCATGGTGATGGGTCCACCCCCTACACATGACTCAGCAGTATCGCCTTGCTTCCATGGCTGCCTGGCTTTACTCCACAGGTGTTTCCCACCATGATCTCCTTCCTCACATACCCTTGATCTGTCTCTCCGCAGTCAACAGCAGACCTCGCCCTGGGATTGCTCCACAATCCCTAAACTCTGGCTTCCAGCCGTTGTGCCTTCCAGGGACTCTCCTCCCTGTCTGGGGTGTTTATGGCTGCGGCAAGGACTGCCTGATTTTCATTCCATTTAGGCTGCCACAGATCAGCTGTTTCAGTCTCAGCCTTAAATGTTTCCCTTCTGACTCAGACAATTGCCCCCATGTGGGGATGGGACCCCCTGCTTCAGTTCCCCCACCTGTGGAGGGCAGGTCCAGTTCTATTAACACTCTTGTTTCTCCCCCTAGTTCCTTCATCCTATCGAGTTTTGCGTGGGTCTCTATATGCTTTTCCACTGGTCAGGTATTCCTGTCTGCTCTCCGCTGGTGTTCTGCCTGCACTTCGGTGTCTGAAGGTGTATTCCTGATGTATCTGTGGAGAGATGCACTCCATGCCCACCTACTCCTCCACCATCTTAATCTCTATTGTTACCCCACTCCAGTATTTTTTTCCCCTCTTTGATTTAATTTTATTATTTAAATATGTAAAAATTATCATGTTTCAGAACGCAGAAAAATATAAAAAACCACATTCAGAGAAGTCTCCCATATCAAGCCCAGCCCCATCCCTTGATCTCCTGATAAATAGCACTTTTCATTGGCTTCCCTGTTATTTTCCTTTATTTCCTTTCAAAAATATAAGCAAACACATGTATGTACTCTTACTGCTCTCTCTTCTTTATAAAAAGGGTAGAACACTATATATTCTTGCCTGGGAAATTTCCATGGATAGAGCAGACTGGTGGGTTATAGTCCATGGGGTTGCAAAGAGTTGGGCATGACCGAGCGCACACACATTCTCTATTTTTTAACATTGGAGAATACTGCTGCAATTTATCACTCAGCATTTGTGCATGAAGGATCACACAATAAATCATTATAAAGACAGGCGAAGAGTTCCCTGATGGTCTAGTGGTTAGGATTCTGGACTTCACTGCCATGGCCTAGGTTCAATCCCTGGTTGGGGAACTGAGATCCTCCAAGCCAGACAATGTGACCAAAAATAAAATAAAATAAATGGCCATAATGGTTGGAACATTTTTCAAAGAATACCTTAAAGACAGGCCAAGCTCATATGCTTTCTGGTGTGTGTTCTTTTCCAGGTCAGAACTGCGGGGGCTTAGTTCAGGGTCCCAATGGCACCATCGAGAGCCCAGGGTTCCCCCACGGCTACCCCAACTATGCCAACTGCACCTGGATCATCATCACGGGGGAGCGCAATCGGATACAGCTGTCCTTCCATACCTTTGCTCTGGAAGAGGACTTCGATATTCTGTCAGTGTATGATGGACAGCCCCAACAGGGCAATCTGAAAGTGAGGTAAGGTGTCGGCTCTTCCTGTTACAGACCAGGTGGCAATGTTTGACATACTCAGATTCTAAAACTTCATTGGGGTTAACAGTTGAATTTAATGATCAGAAAGGAACATCTTAGTTACTATAAAGAAAAAGTAAAGATTGGGGATGTGTGCACCATGTTTTCAATCCCTAAAAGCACACCTTCTTACTGAAAGCAATCACTGAGTTCATTAATAGATACCAAATTGTTCAAGATGGGTAAAACAGTGTTGCTAAGGTAATTTAACTACAGTTACAATACACCATTGTTTTTAAGCAACTGTGTGTTTGAGAGAAAAAGCACAAAGGTACATGTCTGAGTACAATTTAGAGAACAACAAAAGGAACCTTGATACCTTCATAGAATATATTCACTACAAAGGATATAGGAGGTGGGTGGGGTAAAAGCATGGAAAAATATTGCGCTCTGGAAAAATTTTGGTTTGCACCATCATAATACCTCCCATTGCTCATTAGCTTTCTCTTTTGATATATGATTTTTCACCATGAAGAAAGGACAATATTTCCTGGGATGATTGTAAGTTATATTTTTAATTTATCACCAAGATTGTATCTGTGCAATATATCCATCATTTTTTTTTTTTTTTTTGGCTAAGAAATAAGGACTATTTCAAAGACATTGGAATTTCTTAATATATTAATAAATATATAAAATGAATGTATATGAATATTAATGTATTAACTAGCTAGTCAGTATGTTAAAAATAGATTATGTCTATATGTCAAACTATTTTAATTGCATTTCTTTATGCATTTTCAGATATAAATCACCTTATAATTTTTTCTGATCCATCTCCAGTGTTACTGTCTGATTTTCCAGTTGTCCTTTCTGAGACTTACTGCATATGGCTACCTCCTTTATGGACTCCTTAGCCAAGCTTGCTTTCTGCTTATCAAGGATGCATGGGCCAGTGTGTTTGAACAAAGTATCTACATAGGCAGTACTTGTTAATTTGATGCAAGATTTCTTAATCTCTCTGATGCTCTTCTATTAGTTATTTACTAGTTTTTATTCCACATAAATGATTCTACTAGGGAATAGTGCTGTTTTGTAATGACAGAGTTGTAATAAAAACTCCAAAGAGTTACAAAAAATAGATAATCCAGTTAACTAAAATATTAAGGCATATAATTCTGTGTTGAAAGTAATTCTTTCTCTCTTGATGAGAAAACAAAGCCTATTGCGTATGGAAGTAAAAAATATTTCTCTGTGAGGAAGAGTGCCCAGCTCTTGCATGGTAACTTTCCCAGGAGTAGTCTCAGATGCAGCCAGGTCGATCATCTGTTGAATGTGATTTTTAATTTACTGTACAGCTGAAAGCACTCCTGTTCTGAGGGAGAAACTGCAAATGATCTTCAAATCTATTATTTTAAAATATCCAAGGTCGTTTTTATGCACTCTGTAGGTTCAGGCATTATTTGGGGTTGGGGAAGCAGTTTCCAAAGTAATTAAATAATTACATAAACTTCTGATGTTATAAAACAAACAGCAAAAAAAAAAAAATCTGTTAGTATTTCCAATCCCTATAACTCTTGTAATTTCTATAATTCTATTCTATTCTAAAGGAAATCTATCTTAAATATTAATTTTCTCAACTTTGATGTTGTTTAGTTGCTAAGTCGTGTTCAACTCTCTTGTGACTGTATAGACTTTAGTCACCGGTCTCCTCTGTCCATGGGATTTCCCAAGCAAGAATACTGGAGTGGGTAGCCTTTCCCTTCTCCTCTTCCTGACACAGGGATCAAAGCCAGGTCTCCTGCATTTCAGGCATTCTTTACCATCTGAGCCACCAGGGAAGCCCAATCTGTCTTTAAACCATTTATTATTCCCTTAAGTTTTGAAGTTGATACTATGATCATTTTATATGTTAATGAACGTCCCTGGTGGTTCAGACCGTAAAGTATCTGCCTGCAGTGCAGGAGACCTGGGTTCAGTCCCTGAGTCTCCAGGGAAGATTCCCCTGGAGAAGGGAATGGTTACCAATTCCAGTATTCTTGCCTGGAGAATTCCAGGAGCCTGGTGGGCTATAGTCCACAGTCACAAAAATTTGGACACGACTGAATGATTGACACTTACATCTTAATAACTATAACGTTTAGGAAAAGGCATACCTGCCATCTTCAGTTTTATAACAGGATCAGCAGTAGAAATATTAAGGTTAGAATAGTTTGATTCATTGCATTTTATCCTGAGGTATTTTATTAATATTGGTGAGTTATATGTGTGAAACTTGATTCTTACTCACTTAGCTGTTTTAGCTAGAGAAAGTAAGGAAAGCTGATAAGAAAGAAACTGCTTGGGTTTGTATGAATTACTCAGTTACTTATAAGTTTTCATTTGAGATGAATAACAAGTCACAATTCTATGTGTTTCTTGTCCTTACAGTAAGAAAGATGTTTTTGTCTTTCTATTAAATGATTTAATTTTTCCTCTGAAGTCCATAATCAGAATGCCTCTTTGAGTGGACATCCTAATAGTACATTATAAGTCTTCTGGGACACAGAAGTGACCATTTCAGGTGTCCTAACAAATTCCCAAAGCATATCAGAAACAGAATTCCAATAATAACTGCCAAGCACTATGCTGTGTGCTGTGCTTAGTCAATCAGTCGTGTCTGACTCTTTGCGACCCCACGGATTGCAGCCCACCAGTCTCCTCTGCCCATGGGGATTCTCCAGGCAAGTATACTGGAGTGGGTTGCCATGCCCCAAGGGTCTTTACAAATATAAAATTTGAATCAAGAATGATGTCAAATAGGAAACAAATAATGTTGTGAAATAGGAAAAATAATGATGTAAAATAGAAAATGTTCTTATTATTTGGGCAAATATGTGAGCAGGTTGTAGTATTTCAACATTAGTTCATGGACAAAATAGTTGTATAATAATAGTATTGAAATCTAATTAATAAGGTTGAGGTGGAGACTCCAAGGCTATTTGTTTCCCATTGTATCTTGGAACAGTAGTTCATTTCTCAAATGCAATTAAATCGCACCCAGAGCATCTCTGGAATTCAAACAAAGGGCACCTTTGTGAGAGACTTGATGTGCGAGTTGCCGATTCATTCAGTTGTCAGGAAAGTTACTACTTAGAGCTACCATGGTCTCTGTTGTCACTTCTGTACAAACATTGTTTTTAGCAGCTCAACATGTGCACTAACCAAAAATTGACAGTTGTATAATATTAAACAACTTGATCATTTTACTATAAAGAAATGTATTTTGTGAAATACAATAGACAAACATTTTAATATAAATTACATAAGATTTAGATGTAATCCCCAGCTAACAAACAGAATTTGAGGTTAAGAATTACTCATGTTTATGTTGTAACTTGAAATTTAGTAAGAATGTGTGATTTACCCTATGTAACAAAAAAACTTTAAATAAAGCAATAGTGTACAGTGCATGTTTCATTTTGGATTATTTATATGAAACAAACTCATATATGATTTATATATCCGTCAATAAATCAACTTTTACTATGGGGCTATTGAGCGTTAAATGAAGACTTCTTGTGAGCACAAAAGAAACAATTGGACTCAAAATTAGAAACCTGCTCCTAGATTATCTAGAATTAAAACCTTAGTTACTCACTGTTTTTTAATTAATTTTTATGGGAGTATAGTTGATTTACAGTGTTATATTAGTAAAGTGAATCATTTATGCATTTGTACATATCTATTATTTTTTAGATTCCATTCCTATAAAGGTCATTATAGAGTTTTCCCTGGTTTATACTTTGCTTTCCTTTTGGCTCAGACAGTAAGGAATCTGCCTGCCATGTGGGATACCTGGATTTGATCTGTGGGTTGGGAAGATTTCCTGGAGGAGGAAATGTCAACCCACTCCAGTATTCTGTCTGGAGAATCCCATGGACAGAGGAGTCTGGCGGGCTGCAGTACACGGGGTTGCAGAGTCGGACACGACTGAGCGACTAAGCGCAGCGCAGCATTTCACATATAGTAATGCATATGTGTCAGTCACAAGCTCCCAAGTTGTCTCTCCCCCCTTTTCCTTCTTTGTAACAGTAAGTTTGCTTTCTACATGTGTGACTCTATTCCTGTATTGCAAATAGATTCAGATGTACTATTTTCTTTTTTTAGATTCCACATATAAGTGATATCATGCAGTATTTGTCTTTCTCTGTCTGGCTTACTTCACTCAATATGACAATCTCTTAAGTCCATAAATGCTAATGCCAATGGCATTTTGTTCTTTTTTATAGCTGAGTAATATTCTATTGTGTGTGTATATATATATACATACCAGATCATATTTACCCATTCCTCCATGGATGGATATTTAGGTTGCTTCCATGTCCTGGTTATTGTGAACAGTGCCACTGACAAACATCAGAGTATATGTATCTTTTCAAATTATGTTTTTTTTTTTTTTTTAAACAGATATGCCCAGGAGTAGGACTGCTGAATAGTATATTCTACTACTGGTAGATAGCAGTAGTATAATACTACTGCTGGTAGCTCTATTTTTAGGTTCTGAAGGAACCTATATACTGTTCTCCATAGTGGTTGCATCAGTTTCTTTCCTCCAAGAGTGTAGGAGGGTTATCTTTTCTCTCTGCCCTCTCTAGCATTTATTGTTTGTGGATTGTTTGGTGATGACAGCACTGGCTGGTGTGAGGTGATACCTCATTGAAGCTTTGATTTGAATTTCTCTAATATTCAGTGATGTTGAGCATTTTTTTCCTGTGCCTCTTGGCCATCTGTGTGTCTTCTTTAGAGAAATGTCTATTTAGATCTTCAGCCCATTTTTTGATTTTTTTTTTTTTTTTTGAGCTTCATGAGCTGTTTTAACATGTTGGAAGTTAATCCATCATTGGTCACTTAATTTGCAAATATTTTCTTCCATTCTGTGTGTTGCCTTTTCATTTTGTTTATGATTTCTTTTGCTGTGCAAAAGCTTTAATTAGGTCCAGTTTGCTTATTTATTTATTTTATAA